AAATACTTACTGTACATCTTATATACATAAATGACAAATATGGCAGTCAGTTGTTAAATCTAATTTTTAGAAGATATATATATATATACATTTTATCGTACATAGTTTTAATGTAATACACAAAGAAGAAAAACATTTCATTTTTACCGCTATATTTATATTTATGCAATACACCATAACTCTCTACAAATGCAAAAGAAATTTTAGAAATGTTCATAAGTACAGAAAGAAAGAGAAAGTAATAGAGTGATACAATCGATTTTTATACGAAATATATATGTCGTATTAGAAGTAATAACATAATTAGCTTTCTTTAGTTACGATTACGAATAGTTACGATTGCAATATAAAGCTCTACGTTATTAGAATCATGAGACTCGATTAAGATTTCAGTCATTAATCTCCAATTGAGTATTTTGTTTTTCGTTAACGTTCCGCTATATGCGTCTTTAAAAACGCAATCTGTGCTCTGGATTCTAGTGCAGCTAATTCGGCCACAACGGGAGCCATTTGTTGGACATGATTTTTATAATCCGAACCTGTAGGATACATAGATATTTAATAATTATTTGTTGTGATATGAAAAACAATATTGCGTACCCATTGCCACTCTCTTTTCGCCATATGTAACTTTCCCATCGAACTCGTTCATTGGCACTTTTATGTCTGGGCCAACTTGTTGAATCGTCACATTTAAATGATCTTCAATGTCCGCCAAATACTAAAAAATATCAATATTATTAAACACGAATTTTTTTGTTATAAATTTAGATCAGATTATATTAGAGACTTACTTGAGGTTCATTATACCATGTGCAACAGCCACCTTGATCGGTCAGATTTGTATTGCTGCAGTTTCTTCCGCGAGAAGGACACCACTCGCCGTGATACCAGACCTTTTCCGGTACGCTACTGACCAAAGAAATGGCTAGACCCATTCTTTCAGCTCTGCCAACTCTTCCAATACGATGTACATAATTGGATTTTTCGTCGGGCAGGGTTACATTTATCACTAAAAGAAAACAGTGCCGAAATAACATGTATTCTTATTTTTTGAAAATTTTGTCTGAATCGTTCGAGTTACTCACTAAAAGGCAGACCAGTGATGTCCAATCCTCTGGCAGCCACATCAGTGCAGATCAAAAATTTTACCTCTTGGCGTTTGAACTTCTCTAAATTAGCTTTACGTTCTGCAGGTTTCCTATCTCCATGTAGACACACACATGAGAACTGTTGTCCACCAGATCTCTTTAAATATCTCTCGAGATTATCGCAATCGAGTTTTGTTCTGCAGAATATCAATGCCCGATCCATTTTGTGTTCCTTGATAGCGCGAATGCAGTACTCTCCCTTTAGTATCTTCACAGCCTCTGACAACGAACCTGCAAACATAATAACAATTAGATTGTATCAATCTCATTATTTTTATCGTGCGAGGATGCTATTATTATCTAGCGATTACGCTAATTGTCTAACAAGCAATATCATTCATTCTATTCATGTCGTCTCTCGCGTGTACGCCGTCAGTTTGTATGCAGTTCCTCAAGTTACGCCATGTTTTGTCCTTTTTGCGGATCTACCATCACTACAATATGATGTACGGTCTCGGGCACCGCATCTTCACCCTTTAAATCTACCCAAGTTGGAAAATGCATCAAACGTTCCTGCAATAAAAATCAAAAGTTGAAAAATCGAATATATTATATATTCGCTCATTGGCGCGATTATATTGAATGGTATAGATACATCTCGAGACACTTACGGCCATCTTTTTAACTTCAAATGCGTGTAGTGTCGCCGAACACACGATCATCTGCAATCTCTTCCCATCCGACGTAATTTTCGGGATTTGTTTGTGCAAACGATCGATAAGTTCGGTGTAACCTTGTTTTAACAATCCATCAGCTTCATCAAGTACAAAGAACCTTGAAGTTCAATCATTTATCGTGAACTGATATTATTTTTTGAAGTGATAGATAAATTACCTGCAGTGTGTTAATGATAAATAACCGCCTTGTATGAGATCTTCTAGTCGTCCAGGAGTCCCAACTACTATATCTACGCCAGAATTCAAAATGGTAATCTGTTCTTTTACATTTACCCCACCGATAACAAGCAGTTCTCTAATTGTCGGATCCTTTAAATGTGTTTTAAACTGAAAAATAATAAAGCTATTTTATTAATATCATTTTTACCATTTCAATGGTCAATTAGTTCAATTTTTCATTTACCTTCTGAATTTGATTGTAAGTTTGTTCAGCTAATTCGCGAGAAGGTTCTATAATGATTGCTTGAGGAGCGTTATTCCTCGGTTTGCCACTTTCGTTGGATGAACTTTGATTGCTATTAACCGCATTATTCTTGACAGATTCTTTCGGAGCTGATGATACAGCTGTATAGTCATTTGGAGGTGGATATTTAAACGGTTGCGCTCCAAAATTGAATGCCATCTCGGCGTTCTTTAACACAACAGCTGGATAGTAAGTCTGCGATTTTTGTTGCGCGTTTAATGTAAACGCGACGCCTAAATCTACACCGTTCTTGGTAAATTTTATCTCGCCTTTCACCAAGTCGAGAAAACATCCAATCACATCGTGCATTCCAAACGCCTCTCCATAGTTATCAAATTGCTTGGCATTTGATTTTTTCCCAGTACCACCAAATCCATAACCAAATTTATCCGTTCCTAAATCTAAGCTAGCCTATATTTAAAAAATAAAATTCTTAACAATCTATCACTCTTGTCGTCACAAGTGCAAAAATTTAGAATAATACAATTGACATATTAAAGTATAAAAAAAAAAAATTACACCTGAGACATGGACCAGCCTACTCGACATAAACCTTCATCGGTAACTGTTGCTTCAAAAAAATACTTGCCACTGCCCGACACACCTTTATTTGCACGGCAACCATGCCATTCTTTTTGCTCTCTGCTTTGACATCTTAAACCATCTAGGGTTACTGCCATAGCTCGTCCTCTATCAAACAGGCTCAATCCCCAATGTGTTGCTATATAAGTTAATAAAACATTCATGCTACTGTCAACAATAAATTTTCAAAAATTTAATAATTCATAAAAATTTAATATATACGTTGTTGTACTACAACGGTTCCAGCCCCTTTTCCGGATTCCAAATCTTTAAGAGTCTCCCAAACTATTTGTAAAATAGGCAAACAAAAAGCACCAGTTTTTCCGCTACCAGTTTCTGCAGCCATGAGGACATCGCCACCACCCAGAATTAATGGTATAGCTTCAGCTTGGACATCCGTTGGTAGTCTGTAATTCACAATCTCTTGAGAATGATTCACTTCAAAGATTATTTTCTTTTCTTTCTCTGACATATGACACTTCTGAATTGTAAAATGATAGTCAGATTCTATTTTTACTTACGTCCAATCCATATCGTCAACTGCCTTTGCTATTTCCGGCAAGACACCCATTTCTAAAATATAAAAAAATTAATATATAGAATTCTGATGAATTCATACAAGATATAATAATTATTGCGCAAAATGACACAAGTAAACTGACATTTCACATTTCAGATAAAGTTACAAAGCAAATAATTAAATCGTTAAAAACATTTATACCTTCAAAAGCCGTCATTTTCTCTCAATCGTGTTTATTTCGGTATATATTAAAATGTTAAAAATATTAAATTAAGAGATTATATTAATAATTATATGTCAAAACCGGCCTGAGTTCACGTTTTTGTAAATCTTACGAAAAGGTTAGATTTAATTGTTCTTATTGCCAGATGGCTCTGCAACATGCTAAACGCATCGACCTGTGTCCCGTCTTGTGCGCAGGCGCAGGGGCCATGCACGCCATACCCCGACTATGGCTGTGTTCGTAAATTCACTGCCAGTACTGAAAATCTATAGAATACGTTACGTATTCTATAGACTATATGTTTTCAGTACTGCCAGTGAATTTACAAACACAATCTAACTGAACATATTGTGCCACATGGCGTCGTAAAACGCTCAAAAATTATCCGAAGTTGCCGGATTTGCTGTATTTGAAGCGAAAATGGGCGATTGAATCTGCGCGACAGTGGTTCATTGCAAATTAAGGTTGTTAATAGATTTATTTGACTGATAAAAGGTGTATAATTTCCGAAGAGAGATAATGAATGATATGTCAAATCAAAACGGATTCGTGCATTCCGTTAGGGTGCCGCGCATTTATAAATTGACGGCAGACATCGTGCGCCGCGTGCGAGAGGATGGTGCCAGTTTGTAAAACTACTGATTTACGTAAAAGAAGCATCCCGTAAGTGTAAAAGGAATCGGTCGTAGAGAGAGAGAGAGAGAGTATGAAATTACTTTGAAAAGATTCGCGTTTCGATTGTCTTCTTATGACAATCTTATTACATTATCGTGTGATATAATTGTCATAAGAGCATAATTGTCATGTATAATTCAGAACGTGGCCGGCATATATGGCCTCTCGGTGAATACCTTGCAAGCGCTATCTCGAATAGATCTACTGCTTCACAAGACCCAAATTCTGACGGAACAACCGCGGTTGGATCCCTGGCTAGCCAGAGTTCTCGTAACGGAGCTTTTGTGGCGCAACAAATGCCTTAAGAGTCGTTCCAAACCAGTCTTAACCATACTAGCTTATGAGAGCAAGCTACGAGAAGAGTTCAAGAGCTTCGAACGCATAGAAACTACCATCGTTCGTACAGAGAAAGGTAACTGTTTGATAATCATAGCATGCTTGCATTTTTCCAGACATTCCATCTTCAGAGACTCAAAGTGCAGTAAAGGCCTTCTCTCCTTCATGGTCCTGATCATTCGCAACTGTAGAATACTATCCAGTCGACAGAACAAACAAGTTAGAAAGCTGCAAATCGGAAGGCTGCAAGATTATCAGAGATTCTATCGTCAACAATCAATTTGTGACAAAAGGAACAGCTGTGTAATGGGGTCAACATCAATTTTAGGGACATTGTTCCTCTATAGTGTTGCCATGTTTACTTTGCCATTTGTTGCCTTCTTTGGGACACGGCATTTTATGATATCCAAATTTCACACTGATACTGCTGTAACTAATTATATTTCTGTACTGGCTGCTGTAATCACAGTTAACTTGATTATCTCTTGTTATGTGTATCAAGCTTTAAATGAGCCTGTTGAAGAGAAAGAACAGGAAGATGAGGTTAGAATAGAGTCTAAAGAAAATTTGAATAAAAAAGCTGATTAGACTTATTTCATCAAAGAAAATTTGCAAAACGTTAAATATTTTTCATATAAATATTTCATACAAAACAAAATAACATTTTTTGTTTGTTGAATAAAAATGTTTGTGCATTGATATATACATATACATAATAGAGAAAAAAGCATTTTTTTTATAATTAAAAAGTATACATGTAAATATAGATATTGTATATATATATATATATATGTATAAATAAAGAGTATATCTAAAGATGAGTAATCTCTATAATAAAATAACAAAAGATACAATATATTATTTTTAGAAAATCAATTTTAACCTCTAAATTCCTTTCAAAAGAAAATATCTTTATTCTGCTAGATAAAAGATATATCATTTCCAAGAAATCGATGATTTAGGCATTACTTTAAATTTGACTTGAATTAAAGAAATGCTGCATATATATTTTCATTTTATATATAAAAATTTTATAAAAAATTTTATAAATTGTATAAAAATCTATACATCTTTTATTTTACATCTGCTAACATACATAAATATAAATATAGAAGAAAATAGGAAAATGTAAGTAAAAAGTAACAAATCTGATATAATTAGTAAAAAGAACGAAAATTTTGAATATATGATTCAAATTGAAGTTGAATTGTTGAAATAAAGTTTTCTTAAAGTTTTTCTTCCATTAAAAACTTTCACATTGGAATGAAAGGAAACAAAACGAATGAAAATTAAAATTCGAATTTTATGCTCATGAAAATTTAAATATTTTTTTATCGAACTATATTTTTTTTTTATTCAAAAGAGAAAAATAAAATATATATCAAAAAGTTGACTTCGTTTTTCTTTCATTTTTCATTATTAAACTGGATTTTTCTGTTGTCCTCCTTTTACATATATACATGTGAGCTCTTTCCTTCTCTATTTATATATAGCTTTAATAGAATATTATAGAAAGATTTGTCTATTATTTTTCAGTGCAAAGGCCTAGATATGTTCGTGTCAATACTCTCCTGTTATCAGTGGAAGAAGCCATTTCCAACTTTCAGGAAGAAGGATGGCGATTATTGCCCAAAAGCATAACATATTCTTCATATTTGCAATCCTTATCACGATTATCAAAACCATATTTCATACAAGATCTACATGTACCGGAAGTGTTGGTTTTTCCATCTTCAACACTGTTTCATCAACACAGTGGTTATCAAAATGGCAAGCTGATTCTTCAAGATAAGGTAGAGATGATATAAGAACTCGTGTTATGAAATATACTCATTATGTATCTACTAAATGAATCCTAAATGTATACGTATGGATAAATTTATGTAATTCCTTAATATTTTCCTTAATTTATATTTCTTTAATTCTTATTCCAAGTATTATTAAAAATTATATAAATATAATTTTTTTATAACATCAATTTTATAATAATTTTATTACATAATTACACAATTTATTACACAATAATTAGAATTAATAAGAAATTTAATACAATACCTTAAATTAATGGTAAGTAAAATATAAAATTATTAACATATGTACTTAACAGTATATATATTTATTAATAATAATATCATACTTTTAAATCTTATTATTAGGCTAGCTGCTTGCCGGCGCATTTATTGAATCCCGTCAGTGGCTCCGTAGTGCTGGATATGTGCGCTGCGCCCGGTATGAAGACTACTCATATGGCAGCAAAATTGCAAAATTATGGGTACGCAGTTTGTTCTTTCAATAAGATTTATTACATCGGACATGAAAACTTAAAAGTTTTAAATATATAATCATTTCTTATGCACTTTTTATAGAACTATACTTTATTGATTAGTTAAGTAAAGTAACTAAACTTTAGACACAAATATTAATATCTAAATCGTTTTTGTATAGGAAGATTTATGCTGTAGAGATTGATGCCATGAGATTTGAAACCCTATGCGGTCAGATAAAAAAGACTTGTTCCTTTTGCGTAGAACTTGTTAATCAAGATGCCTTGACTCTCAATCCAGAGCGATATTCGGATGTAGAGTACATTTTAGTCGACCCGACTTGTTCTGGATCAGGTAACGTTTCATTTTTTAATAAATAAATAGAATACACAAAAATAATTATTTAATTATTCTGTTATAAAGCATACCATCATAATTTTTATTCAATATGATTTTACGGTATAATCTTACAATTTTCGTCACAGGCATTGTTGATAGACCAAAACAAAGCAATATGGATGACAAGCCTGAGGCAGAGCGTCTGCAAAATCTACAATCGTTTCAAGTTTATCTTCTTAGATATGCACTGTTCAATTTTCCAAATGCGAAGAAAATAATCTACAGCACTTGTTCTCTTTATCCCGAGGAGAATGAAAAAGTAATAGACGAAGTTCTCGCTGATATTGGTAACGCTTATCATTTGGTACCAATTAGACAATTGCTCAAAAATAACTGGACAAACTTTAGTTCCAAAGAATATAAATGCAGTGACACATGTTTGTACTCGAAACCGAATGACGATTATTGCAACGGTTTCTTTATAGCGATATTCGAAAGGAACTTTGATGTGATTTTACCAAAGTGCAAACTCAAAGGTGGTAACGAATACAGAAATCTTAAAGCTGACTTAAATGTCGAGAAAAATAATACAGCGAAACCAGTTGCACATAAGCGAAAAAAGCATGGAGAAAAGAAGAAGGATGAAATCTCAATTGATGAACATATAACCAACGTATCGACAGATATTGTTGAGTTTGTACCCGAAATTAAAAGCAAAGTAAAGATAGAAAAAAATAACAAAGAAACAAAAACTATCGATGTTTGCAATGATTTATCCAATATTAATCATAAAGAAATGTTGAATGAATCTGAAGACATATTACGGAAAAGAGCATCCGAAAATATGAAAATTAAAAAATCAAAAAAGCGAAGGTTAAAGCATGAAAATATACTTCAAATAGAAGAAGATGAAGAAATGATGGAAATCGATCATGTTGGAAAACAAATTAACGAAGAAATTGCAAATCAAATGCCGAAAAGGAAAAGAAAAGAGAAAAGGAAAAATGAAAAAGTCACCAAGATTGATGAAATGTATGTTCGAGAAGTGGAACAAGATAGTGAAATTGAACCATCGAAGAAAAAGAAAAAACATAAAGAAAAATATTGATGAAAACAAATATACTTATAAAAAAAGCAAAGTTGTATCGTTTTTTGTATCGCAACGTATAATTCCTTACTCCTTACATGTTTAGGAATATCTATGGCAGTTGAAAAAATATTAGCAGTAGATGGAAATATTACACATAAGGATTTTTTAGTCGCTAAAAAGTCGAGTTTTTGAAAAAATTAAAAAGCCTGCCGTTATTTAACGATAAGCAACGAATACTTACAGTGGATAATACTACTTGCGTTCGTTCGTTGTTTAATGATCATGACATATAATTGGACATGTAAAATAGATTTTATCTTCTGTATTTGCTTATTGTATCAAGAAATAAAAGAAGGAAAGGCGAGAAGAAATATATCATATTCATTCTTGAACAAA